AGGCAGGATGTGGTCACGAGTACGAGAAACATGACATTTTACGGCAATGCCATCAAGAAGAGATCCAGCTGAATAGGAGACTCTTGCGAAATCGACTTTTTATGATCTCAGGAAATTTCTCCGAATTATCTCAACAATATACATCGCACGAATCTATGTCGACGATGACAAAAAACAAACTAAGATAAGATGTGAAAGAGATAATGATGGAAAAATCCATGCAAACAGATAACTTGTCAACGTGTTCCATACATAAAAATAATGTCAAGAACATTTGATAAAAATAAGATTTCTGATCGTCATTTAATTTGGCAATCTATAATTAACATAATGTAATTTCATGGATCATCAATAAAATATTAATTTGGAGTTCTTAAATTTTTTAGAAAAATAATATCATTTACAAAATAATTATAATGCTATACAAATGTTACATAACGCGTTTAAGAAAATATATTCACACAAATATGAGCATAAAAGTAAAAGCATAATCATAAATCTTATTTGGCTATGAGCGTCAAAAATTTTTACTTGGTGACGTCACAGTAAATACATAACGTAATGTAAAGAAACATAACTCTATCAGATTAAAAATAAAATTTCATAAAAGAGAATGAGTGCGTTCAATAAATGGTTGAGTGAGTGCTCGTTGCTACTGATAAATTCTTTTAAATATCATATGGATCTACTCCAATCACAGATAGTAAAGCATTCATGTTGTGTTCGTTGAATGTGTTCAATATTATATTACTTCAACAGATAGCTCTAGTTGTACACAGGCATATAAAAAAAAAGTTTGCAAACTTTTGAACAGACAATATACCTATCTTAAGTTAAAGCAATGAAGCAATAAGCAATTAAATGTAAGTGACAAGTAAAAGTATCAGCTAATAAAATCTTATCGTGATATATGTATATCAATTAAATGATCAACATGTTTAAAATAATAGGAAAAAAAAATTTTTACAAATAACATTTATATATTTTACTTATTGAGTACAAATTTAAGAAACGAGAATGAATATATGATAATATAATGATGTACTTATACGAAACAATTTCAACATTACTAAGCCTTTTTAAGAGATGTTATCGAATCTATCTATTTTCTTAAAATTTAATAAAAAAATTAACTGTGTCTCAAAAGTGCCACATTGAAAGTGGAGGATTAATTGCAAAAGTTAAAAATGTTTATTTATATCAATAATAATTCTGGAGAATATAATATATCGAGAATGTATACACAGTTAATATTTTGTTATTAATCTTTGACAAATACTACGTACTATGAAGTAATTTATAATGAATCATCAGTATAAATATGACTAATAATAACTATTGGAAAGCTGGATAAGATTTCGTTTCTTTCTTTTATTTTTCAATATAAAAAAGATTACAATTAACGGTGATAATCAACATTTCCATATAGCGATTCAAATTCAAAATATATATTATCACGACTTCATCGATATGACACAATTATATCAATGATATGTCCAAAAATCAAATAAATTATATCTGTGGATAATAAATCAAATTTTTCGAACAGATTCTCTAATAGATAATTTTAGTTATGTTTAAAATATGTTTAACATAAAGAAGTATTGATCATTATTGATAAAATTTGTCGCATATTTTTGACGAATGAAAATATTAACACAATTGTATAAAGACAATATTTCTATAAAAACATAATCATTATTCATACTAAATTCCGTAATTTTGTATATATGATCTCACTAGGTATATGTACATTTCTGCAATGTTGCAATATTATCTCTCATAAAATTGGGGGGGGGGGGAATAAGCAATATAATTCATTAATTTTCATGGAACCATGAATTATAATAGTTAGTCTATTATTATTTACAACTATCTCGAGTAACTAATTAGATATCTTTCTCATAGTTTAGTTTGCTTCACGGATAGATAAGTGCATATTATAATTATCAAGTATTACGAAAAAGCACTTGAAAATTTTATATTTTTATATACATTTATACGTCAGATAAAATGTCATTAGAGAATAGACACGTGCGGTTCTACGAAGCATTCAAAACGACATTTGTCAACGTTGTTAGGGCGGACAGCAGTAGCTCGTGAATGCAGAAAAATTCACAATCGTTGAACACGGCTGCGATAAATTACCGTGGCGTCGAATCGACGCGATGCATACAGCAGCGCCCAAATGCAACTCTGTTTTGATAAGCGTATTTTTATCGTTCGGTGCAAATGTATTTTGCAAACCGCCGAACGGGAATTCTCGCGACCTCATAAATTTATTATGCCTCTGAACAAAAATGTTCGAATAATTCGGCGCGTTCATATCTCTTGCAAACGGATGCATTTCAAAGTTAAATATTTATAAAACATAATTGACATTAGTGTGCTAATAATTTAATTTAGTTTAAGTAAAACAAATAAAACGATTTCACGTAAAAGCAGCACATAAATGAATATCTCTGCCTTTTGCGAATTTATTTGTTCCTGTATGTAATACATTCTCATACGATGTTTTCTAAAATTTTACAATTTCAAGAATATTTTTTTTACTTTATTTATTGCATTTATTGCATGTTTAAAAACTATTTTTCTTTACAAGTTCTCGAAAAGATTATGAAGTTTTGTTTACACAAAAAATTTATTATTATGGCAATATAATAATATACAATGAGTGCAAAAAGTATTCGTATAAGGAAATTTTTTTTATTAAAAAAACTTATTTGTTAAAAACAAACGTTAATTAGCAATTTTATACAATGAATACGTTTTGTTCTAACATAAAACAAACTTCGTGAATATTTCTGATTTTATAAGCTAAACTTCTCGAAAATTTTGTGAGCGTCTAAACAATACAATTTTTTATTTTCGTTTATTTTTAAGATGATATATTTTCTATATATTAAGATGATATGAAATATTTTCCGTATTTAATTTTATTTATACACGTAACAATTTGCACTGTCATTTTATCTTTAAATGTCGATTTAGATTATAAATAGGATATTATATGTAAACTTTATGATTCCCTTTATTAATACATACTGTATTTTTATTACTTCTTTTTAATCTTCTATGGGCCGAATTTTTCAAAAAAAAATTTATGTAACGTGAAATCAACAAATATCAACATATAAATGCAAATTAACAATTAATTCAGCTTTCAAAAGCAACTTTTAAAAGCATTTACTTTGATATCTCATAGATTAAAGTTAATAACTGTTACCAAAAATATTATTCGTTACTAAGAAGACATTATATAATAAGATATATATACGCTATCTTGTAGTAAAAAATTAAATAAATTAATAAAATATCGATATATTAGCATGTGACTTGAAAGTTACACGGGCTTATAGAAAGTCAAAATTGTTATCGAAAAATGTAAATTTTTTACAGTTATCGTGATTTTTAGTCGTGTTAAAATATAGATATAAACATACTACCTATAGGTGGTTTCATATCACAATTGACCCAGAATTCGATTGCAGATTCAATTGAATATTAAAAATGGTGGTGGGATATTGATAAAGTCTGATACAAAAGTATTCTGTCGTCGATACTACGTGACTGTTTTAATGTGATTACAGCTGTTAATATTTTTGCAGACATGAGCAACGAAAAAGTTAATAAACAGGTAAGAATGTGTTATTGAAATATAAATAATGAAAATAGAATTGCCACGGTAAAATCATTGTCACGATGTATCCCCGCTTTTCTCTAGTACATACCGTCGTTCAGAATTGAGGATAACATATTGATTGGCGCCGAACAAACTCATCCGAAATGCACGAACATCGGAGAACTGCTCCTGGATAGACTAAGGAGTAAACCGGATTTTGTAGGACAAGTATACCGTCACATGAAAATCTTATATGATTGATTAAATTTCATTGCGCTCACAGTTCTTTAAGCTTCAATTAGTTCAGCAAAATTAAGTGAATTTAAAAATGACGAGATAATAAAAAAAAGGAAAAATTCTTTTCTAATTTCTCATATTAACAATTAAAGATACTGTTTATATAATACTCGATAACATTTAAGCATTTAAGAAAAAAGAACGTTTTATAAATAATGTATGTGTCTAAAAATTGATCTACATTTTAAATTTTGTGAAATGTTTAGATAGAAATTGTTTCGGGAAAACAGAGTACCTACGCGGAAATGAAAGAACAAAGTATTAAATGTGCTCTGTGGTTAAGAAAGCATGGCATTCAAAAAGGTGATAAGGTTGGCATATGGACTGGTAATCACATTGACACTTACGTACCAGTATTCGCAAGTTTATATGTTGCCGCAGTAATATGTCCATGGGATGAAAAAGTATCAAAAAGTATGTAATTTTATGTAAATTACTGCTGGTGATTTGTTTCCAAAGCTTCGACATTCAAACTTCGAAACTTCAGCATTAAAATATTCGAAGAATCATAATTGTACAATTATTAATTTAATATAGTTAACAGTAACAAATTTATTTTTATTTAAAAAAATATACAAAAATGTTTATAAATGTATTTTTTTCCAAATATATAATTTTTCGAAGCTTCAAAAATACTTTAAATTTTCAAAGTTTGAAATTGTTCAAAGATTTGATGTTTCGAAAGAATTTAAATCTTCAAAGTTATCAGAAGTAACAGTCTTAATATGAATTACATTTGCCATTCTAATTATACTAGTTTATAAATAATTTAAAATTTTTAATGCAAAAAAGTAACAATTTTTGTGACTCTGAGTTAGAATGCGTCATTGGAATTAGTAAAATTTCAGATCAAATTTTTAAAATATAGCGTGTCATTTTTAAAATAAGTAAACCTTTCCACCAAATAATTTAGGTATAACAAATGATAAGCAAGGCAAACGTTTCACTATATGTGGTTTGATGATAAATAAGATGAGAAATACTTCTTATAACTGAAAAGAAATCTTATCAGAGGTGTGTATCAGGACGAAAAAACATGCTAGGCAATAGAATTACTGTCTATTACTGTCTATTACTTGGATTCTAAAGTCCATAACACACAGAAAAACATAAAGCAATAGAATGTCAACAATAAACGAATCGCCCAATTATAATAGAGAATGTAACAATGACGCATAAGTAATAATAAGTGGCAATCTAAAATGTACGTCTTACTATTTAAGTCTTGTGCCATAATCTTAATAAATACGTGAAATTAATCTAAAGTCATATAAAAAACAAAAATTAATTAGTCAACACTTCTGCATTGTTTCCTAATTTCAATAAAACTTCACTATATTAAAAAAAATTCTTTTCTTATATCTCAAAAACTAATCCTGATAGAAATAATTCAATAGCAGATTCGGGCTCAGCATAAAAAATTACACTCAGGAAAAAGTTTTGTACAACAAAAAGGTTGAAGTTGATCACATATCAACAAAACTTTTTTCTGAGTGTAGAAAGTCTTGATGTGTTTTAGTAAAATTTTGTAAACTAATATTATCGGCAAGCTAAATCTTTAACACAACTATAAAAATGCAAAATATTTACTGTTCTTACTAGAAAATGCAAGTATTAATAAGAATTAATTTTTGGAAAATTATAACTATCAAATAATTAAAAATATATATAAATTTCTTTCTAGCATCCGCGCGGTACTGTCTATCGTTAACATCCCCGAAATTAATCTTCGCGGACGCAGATTCCGTTGAGAATCTGGTGGAAGCCGCAAAGGAAGAAAATCTAGAAGTTGAAGTCATAGTTATTGGCAGTTTAACAGGATTCGTGTCTTTGACGGATATTCTTCAAGATCAAGTTAATCCATCGGAGATCAATGAGTTCCGCTGTACCATAGTCGATAACCTACATGATATAGCGATGATATGTGCTTCTTCCGGTACAACGGGTATGCCAAAAGGAGCTGAACTATCTTATGTGTCCCTTTACAACAGTATTACTACCATTGAAGAGGTTCACATAATCAACGAGGTAGTATTATCAATGCCTACGATACGATGGCACTATGGATTAATTCTGATGTTCGAACTGGTTATGTCAAACGCGAAATGGATCATTACTTCAGCAGAAGTAGCTTTCAAGGACGAAACCGAAATATGTAAAATTATTCAGGATTATGGGGTAAATTTGAAAAATAAATGTAGTTCCAAACATGAAATAATTCAATTCTTTTAAACACGCAATTAATATAATTTCGCAAAACTAAATTCACTCCAATTTAAAAAATTCTGTTGTTTATGTTTATCAATTTTTAAACATGCACTCATTAAAAAGCATTCCTATGCATTTTTTCCATCTTTTGTTAACATGTACACAGTATAATAATCACGAAATATTTTTTTGTTGTATTTATTAAGTCTAATATATAAATTTTATCTTTTAAAGTGTGTTTAATATATAAATTCTATTAAAAACTTTTTCCAATTTTTTTTGCTTTTTTTCTAATATTGTTTTTAATTTATTTCTTCGTGTGTCTCTAAATTTTAAAACTAATTTACTTCCTTTTGTGTTTGTTCATATTAAAAATTAATTTGTTACTGTTATTGAATAAAAGTTTTAATAACTATAATTTTTTAACTATTTCTCAGGTAACATGGCTTGGAGCTGATATTTCGTTTCCATACATTTTATTCAAATATAATATTTTACAAAAATATCCTATGCCATCTCTGAAAAAGCTCGTCGTTACTGGTGCGCCATTTCTAAAGAAAATACAAGAAACTGTCGCAAAAATGATGCCACATACCCAAATATTAAATTGTTATGGTAAGAATCAAATTATTAAGTCAGCCGAGAGATTATTCGGTAATCAAAATGTTGTGATATTTAAAAAAAATATGGAACGAGTATTATAAATATCATAAATTTTTAGATTTATTTTTACAAAAGAAGTATTCTTAATAAAAATAAAATATTATTACGTCAAATATCTTTCCTTCTAAAAAATTGTTAATTATCTGAACGTATTTCCTCAGGCTTGACTGATGCCGGAGGATTGTGTGTAAGTCAAGCAAAAAATAGTAAGCTAGGTTCTTGTGGCTTTGTGACCAAGGGAATAAAAATAAAAGTAGTGGATGAACAAACTGGCCAAGCTTTAGGACCTAACAAGACTGGTGAACTTTGTATAAAATCGGAATTTATAATGAATGGTTATCACAAAAATCCAGAAGAAACTAAAAATATCATCGATTCAAATGGTTAGTGTTACAATAATAAAATGACATCTACTATTACAACGATATCTTTTAATATTTAGTCTATAAAGATTATTTTCTTATTTTACACAATCGCATTTTTACTGTAATAGATAAAAATTAAAAATATTTTTTACATGGCAATTATTCTTATATTTATAAGTCTTTTACTCTCTCTCTTATTTCTCTCTAAAAGAATATATTTTTCTTTGTTATAATGAGATGACCAAGTGAAAAAATATTAAAGAAAGTAATTTTATACATAGGTATAAATCCAAAATAAATGTGAATAAATTATATCTTATTTACGCATATAGGTTGGCTGCATACAAAAGACATAATGTACTACGACGAGGAAGGAGAAATTTATTTCGTTAGTAGACTTTCGGATTTTATTAACTACAGAAGCATTAAGCTGTCACCCGCGGAAATAGAAGGTATTCTTGAAATTCATCCTTCAATTCTCAATGCCGCAGTGGTTCCAATACCACATGAAACGGATATAGAACACCCAATGGCATTTATTCAAAAAGTAATTGGAAAAGAGGTAAATTACAATTGCACGATTTATTTTAAAAAATTAAATTTTTTAAAGAAAATATATAAAAACCTTTCCAAAAAGTTTTTTAAAAATAATTATATATAATAAAAAAATAGCATTGATATTTATAATTAAAACCCTTCATCTTTTATTTTATTAAGTCTGTTAGTTTGTCATATCATGCGCGTATAAACCCAACATTTTAATTTCGAGAAAATGTAAAAAGATCAAGAAAATGTTGATTTATTTTTCAGGTAACAGAGAAAGAATTGCATGATCTAGTAGCTAACAATTTACCAGACTATTGTAAGCTTATAGGAGGAATCAAATTTGTGGACAAACTTCCGCGTCTCACTACTGGAAAAATCGATAGAAAACAATTAAAATTATTAGCAAAAAGTTACGCCAATTAAATTTAAAAAATATTATACATTTCTCACAAATCAAGACATCAAGTAGATATAGTACAATATTAATTATCTTGGAAGTAATGATAACACTTGTAAAAGAAATATTACTATCGAAATATATCGATTAAAACGGTTTGCTACAGATTTCTTTCTCCCACCTGCTAAAAAATTTTCATCAATATCAGATTAAATTAGATTAGATTATTTTTGACTCATTTAATAAAAGTATTGATAATAGTAAATATATACAAATATGGAACAATTAAAATTAAAAACGCCAAAGATTAAATTGAAAGTCCTAACAATTTGATTATGCTTTTTTACTGTTGCCCACGTGCCTTCAATATCGTGCGATCAATATCGGAGAAATTCAAAAGATATTTTAAAAACAGTCAAGCAGTACATTTGGCCTACATATAGGATTTAATAAATTAAGTTCCTTTATAAGAGCAACAAAAGGATAAATTACCTTCATTATTGCATTCTAGAATTATTTACAAAATTAATTATCAAAATTGTGATGCGTCTTATATGGGCCAAAAACAAAACGGTTATTACAAACGCGCATTAATGAACATTATAATCATATAAACAGGAACATCATACAACACTCAGTGATCACCACAGAACATAGAATTGAGTACATCATTGAGCAATCATGAGTTTGATTGGAACAATGTCAAAAATTTAGATGAAAAATAAGTAATCAATAAAAGATTAATGTCTGGAGCTATTCATGTGAAACAACAAAAAATATGTTCAACTGTGTCAGCTCTCATTGACATTATTTTATCCTTTATTGATATAAATATGGGTTTACGTAACATAATGAAATATATAAATTACATATAATAAAAAATGAATAAAAACAGTTAAGACGGATCTCCGTCTAATAATATTTTTTGTAAATTTATACAATTGAACCGGAAATTGTACACAAAATAATTAAGCACGAAGATCCGCCTTGACTAAATATGACGTTTTTTATTCACTTATGTTTAACATTTCATTTAATTGATTTTCATTTAATTGTACATATAATGAATTATATACAAATGAACTATAAGTGACGCAGATTAATAATATTTGCATATTATGTTATGAAATGTATAAAATATATTAATTTTTCATTATATAGTCATTAATTAGTGAGTTCATTATAAACAAATATTCATAATATACTGAGTATTATGATTGATTAAATTATTTCAAAATTTTGAAAATGTATTTCAACATATAAACTGTTAAAGTTTGCATTGATAGAATATAAATAGAATATAAATCATTCTATAATCGCCCGTTTTATTTGAAAAATGAGCAGAAGATATCTCTGTTCCAAATAATAAAAAAATAAAAACAAGTAATAAATAATTAGAAATTAATTTTTAAATACATTTTTAAATATTATTATCACCTTTAAGATTTTCTTTCTTTCATAAAAAAAAACTTCATTAATTGTCACTTATCAATCTCTCTTTAAAACAATTGCGTTAAATGTTATATTTCTCTTCTCAAACTTGTGTTTTAGCTTTTAATTCCAAGTTTCCGATGTGGTACGCTAATTAATTAATTATCTAAACTGATAATTGATACATCTGTCAGATAAAACTTTCGCCTGTAAATGTGAGTACATATATCACAGAAATACAATGATATAGGTGCGCGTGAAAATTTGCTTATTCATATCTCTTCCTTCAGGGAAGTTCCCTATTTTAAAACAGTTGACTGAAAAAAATCAATATTTAACAAAATAAGATTGATCTCTGCCATTGAGCTCTTAAAAATCGCACAACAATCAAAACACATATTTAACTACTCAAATCATAATTGGATTCGAATGTGTGGCGCTCAGTTCTAGAAATTGTACGAGTTGTTCAGAAATATTATATATAAAATATATTTTTACTTAAAAAAGATTCAATTCATTTTCAAGAATGCTATGGACGCCTCAGTGAAAAAGTACAGTCGTGTTCCTAATTCCTTCTCTCTCGGATGTCACATACTTCTCGTACATAAGTGGGAGAGATAACATAATAAAAAGCCTGATATCTCCGATTTAATTCATATATAGATTACGAATGCGATCTGACTACTAAAGAAAACGTAAAAAAGAACAAAAATTATTGAGGAATTTATAAAGATGTGTGAACGAACGACAGCAATTGATAACAGCAAGGTAAGAAGATATTTACAAAAAATATTTAGTTTGTTCATAAAAAATACACTTTTGTTGTATTTATTAAGACTTTATAATTAAAAATCGCTAATATTTTGCTAGAATATTTGTAAATTTCTTGTTTCACATAACTCACGTAAAGATTTTTTTAAAATTCTTACAATTCAATAATCCTTATCAATGTACATTATCGTATAATGGAAATACATGATATCTACTTAAGATACATTCATCTAAATATAAAGAAATATCGAGCACCTACTGCATCTATGTATATAGTATTTTTATATTTATATATGGATATTATAACCAAGAGCTCGGCAATTTTTGTGATATCTTAATAATTAAATTTATTTAATTATATTTATATTATTTATAATTTTAAATAATAATTGTAATATCAAAAATTATTTATCGTTTGCATTAAGTCTCCATTTTAATCCCAATAATTCAACAATTTCTCGTTATTTATTAAATAAAAAATTAATGTGCTAATTAATGTGTTTATTTATTATACTTTTATTAAGCTTTTAATAACATGTCACCAATATTCCTACTTTATATACAAATTAATTTCTTAATTTATTAACATTTTATATACATAACAACGATGTAAAGACTCTTATGTATAAACAAAATAAACAAAATGAATGGCGAAAAAGAGTCGACGCATAATACATTTAATTAACGATATTAGTCATAAATACATAAAATAAGAAGTAGAACGGCGTATACATACCTGTTATACATTACGGTGGTTCTCATTTGCTTGTTCGGGTGTGTTGTTAGCACTTGACTATGTATCTTAACATCGTTTTGACTGCCCCATCGCATATACAACATTAGGCTACGTCAAGATCCATCATGATTACTGATTTCCGCGCGTTAAAAATGTTGCGACACTGAACTTTATTTATTTATTATTATTTTTTTATTTAGTCTTTTATTACTTTTTTTATTTTATTCATTTCTTTACATCTGAGGAGGACTCAATCCAGCAGCCGAAACTTGTTTGTTTTATATATTAATATACGCCGTTCTACTTCTTATTTTATGTATTTATGACTAATATCGTTAATTAAATGTATTATGCGTCGACTCTTTTTCGCCATTCACTTTGTTTTATTTTATATACAAATTAATTTCTTAATTAATTAACATTCTTCTTATTCATATATTTTGAATAAACATTTAAATAAACAATAAATAACATTTTTTAAGATTATTTTTAATTTAAAAATTATATAATCTTAACAACAAACATCTATATCAAAATTATTAAAAAGAATAGAAGGTTTTTGTAAAATAAACATTTGTTATTTTTAGTTTTAATTTTTGCATTTCTTTTAAAAATTCTGTTTAACTGTTGCATGGATTAATATACTATTGTAAGTAATATAATTTTATGTCAAAAACTCCAGAAACTCCATTATCACGATGCTGTTCGTGAATTCAGAATAGAAGACAATATTCTAACAGGAAAAGAAATACCAATAAATAGAGAACCTGTTAATATGTCCGAAGTGCTACTTAAAACATTGAAGAGCAAACCAAACTGCATCGGCCAGGTATTTTAATAATTTTATAATTTCCATCTAAATCTATTATTAACGTAAAACAATTATATCGCTAATTTCTAGAGTGTACAAAACTTTGCGTAAACAAGAATTTAAACGTACAGTTCAAAATCTTTTGCTGTATAGGTGGATGCACTTTCTGGTGAACAGGACACTTATGCAGATATGAGTGAGCGCAGCATTAAATGCGCCCTTTGGCTACAGAAGCAAGGCGTTAAGCCCGGCGATATAATTGGTCTTTGCTGTGATAATGACATGAACGCAATCATAATTATGTTGGGCACTATGTACACAGGTGCTATATCTAATCCTTGGGACAACGACTTGTCTCCAAGTATGTATTTCCTGTACATATTCTATTTCATTGTAAGTATAGTCGTGCTATAAAATCTTATGTAAGAATAAGTTAAGAAAAAGTTAAAGATTTTTAAGCAGTGGATGCAATTATTATTAAAAATACAATTGATATATTTGCATGGTTGTCGTAAAAAAACATTTATAGTTGTCCCAAAAAATGATTATAAATTATAATTAAATTATGGTGATTGCAATTACTTTTTCTCTCAGTGAAATATATGCTTTGTTTGATCAATGTAATAAATTTAATTTGATAATTTAATACTAAACTAATTGTTCGTTTAAGATTTATGAGCTATACAAATAAATCTTACACACATTATTCATCCATTTAATTCTATTCATTTACATTTGTTTAGTGACAGCACGATATTTTCTTTCGTTAACATCACCAAAAATAGTTTTTGCGATGCCGTCATTGGTTCCGATTTTAGAAGAAGCAGCAAAAAAGTTGCAAATAAATATGAAAATAGTAGTTTCTCATAAATTAAATGGATATACATCCGTGGAGGATATCTTGAGTGGTCACGATATTAACGAGATCATAGAATTTAAATGTGCCAAGATCAGCAGCCCCGACGATGTTGCTCTCATCTCTCTCTCATCGGGTACTACGGGCATGCCGAAAGGTACCGAGATATCGCATTCATCTTTATATAATTGCTTACTTCCCGAAAAAGTCACGGAATTAGAAGGTCATACTTGTCTGTGGACACACACATTGCGTTGGCACTACGGGGTCCAGTTGGCATTTCATGCCATCTTAGCGTATTCAACAAAAATTCTTGCACCCTGTAGCATAATACTTAATGACGACGATGAAGCAATATGCCGGTTTATCGAAAAATATCGAGTAAGCTAATGATTCCGCAATCTATTATAAAACTTTGCAAATAATAATTAAATGGAGATTAATCTTGCACTTTAACTTTAAGGTAACATGGTTTTCCACCGAACCAGGCATGCTAATTCGATTTTATAAGAGCGATTTATTGAAGAAATATAAATTGCTGACTTTAAAAGAAATAATGAGTACTGGTGCTAATTTAGGAAAGGAGCATTGTCTAGCTTTGGCAAAGAAATTACCTCATGTTTTCATTGCGACCGGTTATGGTATAAGTCAATTTGATTTAAAAGTATCATGTGACACTAAATACTTCATATCATGACACTAAATATTTTATATCATTCTTTATTTCTCTTAGACTTATTACTATTATAGTAATATAATAGATATATTACTATTATAGTAATATATCTTTGGAAATATTAATATCAACTTAATGTATTAATATTACCTTCTATTATTTCAAAGCACAACAAGTAAAAATAAGTTTTAAAATTATCAAAAATATTAATACTAAATTTTAATAAGTAAAAACACTTCTTTATTCAAATAATAAAAATAAAATAAAAATAAAGATATCAACAAGAAATCATTAGGAATTTATAATAAATAAATCTTTATAAATTTATAATAAATATAAATAAATCATTTTTTTACACTTATTTAAAATAATATTTAAGATAATTATATAGCAAGAATATTTATAATAGCGTTTTCATGTGATTCTTGACGGTATCATATTATGTCATATTATATAGTTATTATAAATATCGTTTTTTTAGGATCTACGGACTCAGCAGCTGATGTAACCGTTATGATTAAAGGTTGCAAACCAGGATCTATTGGTTTTGTCGCACCTAACGTTCGAATAAAAGTGACAGATGTAGAAACTGGGAAAACTTTGGGAGCTAATCAAAATGGAGAACTACGTTTGAAACTGCCTTGCATAATGAATGGTTATTATAAGAGACCTGAAGAGACTAAACGAGCTTTCGATTCTGACGGTACGTAGTAAAGGGATGGGTGGGACCATATCAGTCCCTATATGTCTGAACCTAGTCAAAGAGTCATCTAGATCTAAAGAATTCTTCTGTGACTCCCGTTAAGTCAGTACGGATTGCAAAATTATCCTTATATACGGAATGCAGAGTTTGAACTTGCGACCTGTCGGTTACAAATCCGTCGCTCTCACATGGAGCCACATGACATCTTGACGATGTGTAACTAATCGGAATGTCACAAAATTGAGGAAACCATTTAGCAATTTTGACTCTAATATAATTACAATTGTAATGGAGAGTATAAATGAATACAGAAATAAATATTATTGTATATATAAATAATAAAAATATTATAAATATTATTAATAATAATATTATAATAATCACATTTATACAAGGAACACATCAAGTTAGAAAAAAAATGACTTTTTTTTTACAAAATTTGATTGTTTATTAATGTTAAGAATTAAAATAAAATGATTTTAACTTTTTTACCTTTGCGTGTTCTTTAGGTAGATACACCAAAATTTTTTATATAATTACAAAATATGAAATGTATGAATAAAATGCAAATATTAAAATTTGAAAATATTTATGAATATAAAAATGTTGAAGACAGCAAATTTGCAAATAAAAGAAATAATAATGCATAATTAAAATGATTTCGTGAAAACGCTTTTTTAAATACAGATAAAAATATAAATTATTAAACCTTAAACAAAACATTTCAGGTTGGTTACTTAGTGGCGATATAGGATATTACGATAATGACGGAAATGTTTTCCTCATCGATAGAATATCTGAATTTATCCTCTTCCATGGTATTAATATTTCTACCGCAGAAATCGAGAACGTTTTGAAGACACATCCCGCGGTATCTCAAGTAGCAGTAATAGGAATACCACACGAAATTGCGGGTCAGCATCCAAAAGCTGTCGTTTCTCGAATGCCGCATAAAACGGTAAAAATCGTAAAACGGTCATATCCATTCCAGGCAGTGAACATGAAAAGAACGACTATCGTATTCAAAATTCATATTCATATAATTTCATTGTAATCGTAAAAAAAAATGTTTCAATTATAGGTAACGGAAGAGGAGCTCCATGACTTAGTAGCGAAGAACCTACCGGAATATTGTGAGCTTCGCGGTGGAGTTAAGTTTCTCGACAAACTCCCACGCACAGCTACAGGCAAAATCGCGAAGAAGCAACTGCGAGATATGATTGTGAATTAAAATACTATTACAAATTACACAAAAAGGTAGATTGTTACATCATTTAAAATATTCAGATTGCTTAATAGTAACAATATTGACTAGAAAGATAGAAATTTTCATGGCAAGATATATTAAATAAATGAAAATATAGAAGTTTTTCTTATATGTTGAATAACGTATAAAATTATCTAATTTTTCTTAAATAAAAATTTTTAAATTAAAAAATTCAATATAATGTAAATTACATTATCAAAAAATAAATAAAAATATCATTACGCGTAAAAATATAAATAGAAAATTAAAAGTTTCCTACTATAATAAAAATTAAAGTCGAAAATTAATGATTATCGAAAAATCTTCACAAACGTTCGAAAAACGTATTCTGCTAGATGCGGTGGAAGATTTTATGAATGGACAATTACTTCTGACTTATACACTACTGACATATCTCCGGTTTTACACCTCGTTTATATACAAATTTAATGTAATGCTTAATATTTGAATACGTTATTATTTCGTTGATACACTGAAGACAACGAAAATTATGACCGAAATGTTTGTAATCGTCAATTATTGTTAATACACACTACCATCCAGTGTCGGCTTACATTGACTTGCATTTTTTCCTCATTTCGATTTATTTCTTTAAAGCTTTTTTATTAAAGATATATTATTAAATAAGATTATTAAATAACTTTAGGAAAAAAATATCTACCAAAATTTCCAATACATGGAGAATTTTTCTGTAGATAAATCTCAATAAAAAATATTTCTAAAAATGTTTATTTAAGATCAGTAAAAACAGATAATAAAATACAATAACGTGATTTTCCTCTCTATATTTCAAATATTACAAAATGCACTCCAAAGCACTTGGAATGCACTCTTTTCAGATATTATTTCCTTCAAAAAAGATATCCCCTCTCCACGAGTTTAATAATAATCTTTTTACAAAAGAATACATAAGTAATATATCTTTATTTCCTGCACTCTAAGATAAAACTCAGATAATAAATCCATTTATATCTTTTCCTTTTTATCCGTGAAATTCGTAGAAATCTAATCTAAAACCCTCTGTTTATATTATTCCATGCATTGAGAAGATAAAAATTAAGGCAAGAATTGAAGACATCGATCAATGTTCTAACAGTGACAATTCATCAGCTGTCGTGGAAAGTACAAGTAGTGATTATCATTGTACAATTTATAAAAATGTGTGAACCGTACATAGCAACTGATAAAAATGAGGTTATAATTTATATTTTCGTCTTGTATTTAAAAAAATCTTCTCAAAAAGTTAATTTAATTATGCATAATAAATTTTTTCTTTAAATTATTATTTCTTTTTATTTTTGCTATCTTCAACATTCATAACATATACTCTCTAAATCTGAATCAGTGCATAATCTCTGGATATCAGTGCCAAGTATGCCTTAGCCGTATCGTCCTCCTATCATTTTCTTTAGAGGCAAGAGCCAATAAGTAAAGAAGAAGAAAAAAGTGCCAAGTATGCCACTGGTAATCAGTGAATGTGAGATCCCTACCTAGCTAATTTTTATTATGTGATGTGATTAACCTTGTTTTAATGCATAAATTTAATGAATATGATATTGGAAGATTAAAATTAATGCAAATATCAGTATTTAGTTATTATCGTTAAATATAGTTAGAGAATGCTCAAACATTCTTCCTTTTTTAGTTGAACTTCACTTATTGTCCAGTGCCAAGTATTCCACTGAATAATTAGTGACTATCCACTGAGTCAGATTTAGAGAGTATTTAAATTCACAGATATTTTCAAATTTTAATGTTTACATTTTATTCATACATGTTATATATAATATAATTGTAATTATATAAAAATTACAGTGCATCAAATTATCTAAATGATTATTATTATACGATTATAAATATTAATATTTATTTATATCGTTATTATTTTTGACAATAATTCACTAACGAAATTTTATCACAAAGGTAGAAGAATCAAAACTCAAGGTCAAAATCAAAGATAACATCTTACTAGGTCCAGAATATCCAATACATAGAGAATCAGTCAATATAGCTGAAACGATTCTACAGACTCTAAAAAGCAAACCTGATTGTATCGGCCAGGTATATTAAAAACAAACAGTATTTACTGTATAACTCCATATTTTTCAGTTGCATTAATTTCTCGTTACAAATGGTTAATATGTCAATTTATAGATAGACGCTGTTACGGATAAACAAACCACTTTTGCCGAAATGAGTGAACGCAGTATTAAATGTGCACTTTGGTTGAAAAAGCAGGGTGTGAAATCAGGCGACATAATTAGCGTTTGCACCGATAATAATCTAGATGCGATTATAGTATTATTAGGCATCATGTATTTAAATGGCAAATGCAACACATGGGATCATCAATTCTCCTTAAGTATGTAATCTAATATATTAATGCTTCTATTACCACCATATACTAAAAAAATTATACGCTACATACTACATATATATAAAAATATGTATCATTAACTGTATTTGTTTATTATGACGATAGTTCTTTGTATTAAGCATTTTTTTGTATTACTTAGTAACTTGTTTTTAAGACAGTCAATAAATATAGTCGTAAGATAAACCAATCACAAAGTTCAAAATTGTAAGTATAAAAATAATGATCTTGAAATAAGAAAGAAAATATCAGTTAAAGACTTAAATATAGTACTCATTTAAAATTTATATTTAGAAATTTATATTTTAGACAATTATCGGTTAAAAGCATAAAATTTATAAAAAATAAATAAATAAACAGATATAGTAAAATTTTTAATATTATTCATTTAATGATTCATTTTATTCATATTTCAGTGACAGCACGAAACTTTCTCTCAATGATGTCACCAACAATAATTTTTACGATTCCATTATCGGCCGCGAATTTAACAGAAGCAGCAAAAGAGTTGAAAATGAATGTAAAAATAGTGGTTTTTGGCAAGCTAGATGGATATGAATCAATAGATGATATTTTGAAGGGTCACAATAATCACGAAATTTTCGAATTCAAATGTACTCCGATCAGTAACCCGGACGAAGTTGGCATTATTGTTCTTACATCAGGTACTACGGGTATGCCAAAATGTACTGAACTCTCGCATTCTTCTATACACAATTGTTTACTTTCTGTAAATATTGTCGAAACGAAAGCTCACGTTTGCATATTTACACCGACAATACGTTGGCAATACGGCATTATGCTTGCATTTAAGAACATTTTAACAAATTCAACCAGAATTATTGTACCAGACTGTGCGGTAGACGACAATACGAGTAACATGTACAAGTTCATCAAGAAATATCGAGTAAGAAGAATTCCTAAACAAATTTCTGCCTAATTTAATATCTAATTTTAAAAATAGAAATAGAATTAAAGAAATTATTTTAATATTTGACTGTGTAACTTTTAGGTAACGTGCCTTACTACTGATCCATTCATTCTAATCGAAATGGTTAAAACCAATATATTAGAGAAATATCAATTGACAACATTAAAGATTATTGTTACTACTGGTTCTATTTTCTCAAGAGAATATCAAGAAGCATTGATTAAAAAATTACCAAATGCTTTAATTAAGAACTCTTATGGTAAGTTACTAAATTTAATTTAAAAAATTACGAAACAATCCTTTTTCTCCCTGAATCAGTTAATTTTTTAGTCACATTAAAGTCTATGTAACTGGTTTTCTAGAAGTGTCTATTTTTTTAATTAATTACGATATTAATTAATTAAATGTTAGAAATTAATTCTTTATATTTAAAACTCTGATAAGTAAATAATACGTTAAATACTTGTTATCTTGTTAATATTATGGATGCATTAATGTTTCGTGCCAGGATCTACCGATGCAGGAGGTACACTTTCTAGTCAAAACAAGCACAGTAAACCGGGATCTGTTGGTTTTCCTTTATCTAATGTTCAAATAAAGGTGACGGATATACAAACCGAAGAGATCTTGGGGATTAATAAAGTTGGAGAACTACGTATTAAAGTTCCTTATGTAATGAACGGTTACTACAAGAATCCCGAAGCTACCAAAAAAGCTTTCGATTCTGATGGTACGCCTTGGATGCTCGATCAAAACTTTCAATTAGCAATACTAACATTTAGATAACTAAAAACTGCAATAAAAAATAATAAAAATAGAAGATAAAAACAGGACCCTCAATATTAAAATAGTAAATATGTGTGACCTCAAGGCAAATAGGAGACCAAGAATAAAATAACGTTTTATAACAATAAAAATATGTAGAAAAGCAAATGTTAGAATATAATTAACTGTTTCAGGTTGGTTACGCTCTGGCGATTTAGGATTTTATGACAATGACGGAGAAATCTTCATCACCGGCAGAATATCGGATTTCATTCTTTTCAGAGCGATCAATGTCTTGCCCACTGAAATTGAAGCTGTTTTACAGACTCATCCTGCGGTATTCCAAGTGAAGGTAATAGGAATGCCTCATGAAATCGATGAGCAGCATCCATTGGCTATTGTCTCAATCGTGCCAGGTAAAACGGTAGGTACCGCTCATTTTCAATTATATTAAATATAAAACCAATAAAACAATAACTGCTTTTGAGATTTACACGAAATTTACATAGCAAATATTGTGTGTTTCTTTATCAAATGTTTCGTTTATAGGTAACAGAGCAAGAGCTGATCAGTTTAGTGGAAACGAATCTGCCGGATCACTGCAGAATTCGGGCTGGTGTCAAATTCGTAGATGAATTACCGCGTACAGCTACCGGCAAAATTGCGAAAAGACAGTTGCAAAGTATGTTCATAAATTAAATTATACAATGCGTAATAAAAGTTCTGGAATGGCTAATTATCTCAGAGAAAGTATTGGTTTATTGAAAAAGTGTTTCATACAAAAGTTGTAGGGCAACAAATGTATCAAACGGCAATACTTATTCGATCTTGAACGCAAGTATGGAGAAATTCTCAAAGTCAACTTTAAAATTTTTAATGAAAACTCTTACTTTTTCTTCAATATTCTTATAGCTGACAATTAATAAAATCTTTTCAAAACACTATAATAAAACTTCTTAAATAATTATTACCAGCATACTCGTATATATTTTAAAGATTCATTAATATATATAAATAATACATATATAGATATAATCTAATTCATCATTATTTTTTTATAAAACTACGGTTTAAAATTCTAAAAACCATAAGATATTATTATTTAAAATTTTCTTTGTATGTACATATTTAATATATTATTTTATTTAAATTTATATTTGTTAACATTTGACGCATTGGCTTAGATTTTGTTTAACTGTTTGTCGCAATTTTATTTTATATTTTTACAGAAATAATTCAAGATATTAACAATGTACTTAATTTGTTTAATATATTGGTCTAACAAGCCATTTTGTAGCCATATTTAACAACAAAACAAGATGTTACACTTGTCAACCTATTATATTATTGCTGATGTTCATCATTAATATAATAAATTTCCGTTGTTTATTTACCAGATAACGTAAAATTGGGATACTTAAATGTTATATTATCTTACAACATCATTATCTATTTCTTGATTATAGAAGCAGAATAAACATAATTTCACATGTTAAATAAATAAATAAAAATTTTTTCAATAAAATCTACAAATTTTTTTTATGAACAAAGAAATACCTATTATTTTACGTCTAGTATTTTACGCCTAGTTGGACCCTGAGATTAATAATGATCATTATATACCTCGTAAAGAGATATAATGCACTTGTCGTTTAAACAAGTTTTTCTTTCCTTTTGTCTGTCCTATAAATCTCCCTCTCTGTCTTATTTTTCTTTCGACCTCTTCTCATTTCGTTTATTCGTTCCTTCCATTCTCCTCCACAGCATAACTCGACGGATTACCCATATTATTCAATGGGATTAACGCTATGATATATTTTCATGAGATTATGCTTTTTATCACATTTTTTGTTTTATTTATTCGGACAAAATTTTATTCGGACAAAATTACGATATTCGGCAATTTTAATATATCAAGAATATCACTATATATATTTCTAGAGCGAGATATCCTAATACGTCGCGAGCATTGTTATTAAAATCAAATTATAATCAATGAACAATTACAGCCGATATATAATATCGGTAACGTCGAATGATCTAACGTATTGTACATTATTTATTGTAGCTAAAAACATGTTTCCTTTCTCCAATTATCTCGAGAGTCTAAATGGGGCATCTTTTAAACGAATATAAAAATGCATCAGAGCAACAATACTTTCTCGGTTAGACGCCGCGCATGTTTTTGCATTTTTCTAAAGGAAAGAGTTACTTTCCGCTAATGCCAGCTCTCGGTGGCATGCATATTTATTATTCGAAAGCCGAGAAATGGAGATTCACCATCTTTCAAATTTCAGCGTTTCTCTCGTCCGATACCTATACACGATGTATCTCTTCTCGTCTAATTTTTAACAATACCGGAGATTCGATAGTGAACCTTTCAGAATGCAACAATTTTTTATGAAAACATTAACTTGCGTCGCAATGAGTTTTGACGATGGATCGGATATAATTCGCTCGAACGGAGGTAGCGCGATGGATTTTTAATCCGAATGTTTCTTTTACAAATACGCGTACTCGTGGAAGGCGTACTCTTTCATATCTTTTGATGAGAGAGGGGAAGAGCTCGTTCCTGAAGAATTGAATTATCGCTCGTTTAATATAGTTTTTATCTGGCACACGCACTACGGATATCAAGACAGGTCCTTGGGTCTGTGTTGAATTATCTTTTTCGATTAAATTCTTTTATGACGTTCTTATGCGGACGGGCGCACGTTGTAAGAACTGTGAGCTGAAGGCGCGAAGGTTTTACAGAACATAACGGAGACGTAATGGAAACAGCTGGCAGAAGCTTACAGCGATTTCCATAAAATCGAGCCATTAAGATCTTGTACAGTTGCAAGCCCGCGAAGAATAGTCGGAGCGAGAAATCAATATTTCAAGAAATAGAAAATGTAAGATAATAACGCGTCAGTATCTCGATTTAATTTTGCGCGTTCAATATGTTTTTTATCTATGAAAAATTTATTGCTATCCAATTGTGAGTTAATCAAAATTCCAATATACCAATAAAAATTGAATTGTAAAAGAGTCATGTGTATCGCTTTGCTTCTCCTTT